AGGCTGGTCTTGAACTCGCAACGATCCTCCTGCCTCAGCCTCCTGAGTGCTGGGATTACAGGCATGAGCCACTATGCCTGGCTCGACAATAGCCATTTCTGCAAAGTCAACAGCAAAAATAAAGAGTAAGAGAAAGGAAAAACAAGACAGCTACAAAAAAATGAGATGTAGTAGAAAACAACAGTGATACTGTATTTCCTTTTCTGGTTCAAACTGAGCTCTGCTGTCACGCTATATAAGTTTATCAATGTTCCTGAAGTTCAGAGCATTTCCTAACCTTTCTATTTGGTAGAAATACCTCTTTTCAGTAGCTGTGATGAATAAAGATAAAACATAATGAACACCCTGCACACTCAGCTTTAAAAGGAACATTACTATTCAGTGAACAATAGCTATTTCTGGCCAGGTGTGGTGGCACATGCCTGTAATCCCACCACTCTGGGAGGCTGAAGCAGGAGAAGTGTATGATCAAGTCTAGCCTGGGCAACTTAGCAATTTATGGAGTCTGTCTCTTAAAAAAAGGGTTGGGGATATAGCTCCATGCACAGGCCCTGGGTTTGTCTCCTAGTACTACAAACAAAATAAAACAAATGTTTTTTTTCTAAACCATGCTAGAGTAAGTTTTGCAATAAAATAGACTGTTGCTGCATCACTGATCCTTATCATTTTTACTCAAAGGTGCAGAAACAAAGTCAAGGCAAATTTCATGGATTTAATAATGTCACTGGCAAAAAGTATAAAGTGCAAGTGGAGGACTTCAATCTTATTTACCAATGAGTCTCAAATGTGGCTACATAACAACATCATGAGGGGATTAAAAAAGAGTAAGGAGATTTTAAAATGTTTTGGTTTTGTGGGACAGGGTCTTGCTATGTAGACCAGGCTGGCCTCAAACTGCTCCTGGCTGCCTCCACACCCACTTCCCTGTGCTGGAATCACAAGTGTGTGCGTCGCCAGCCCAGCTAGGGGAGCTTTTTTAGTTAGGTTTACCTTTTGATAGGGAATACAGTAAAATTTACGTAGCATGCTTTTTAATGCCAACCTCAGATCAGCTAAGTCAGAAATGGATGCAGG